AGCCTCTTCCAAAAAAATTGCAAAGCGCAATTTGCGTACCTTTTCCCAATAAATCAGTGTAGCATAGACATAGCCTCAGTGAAATTAAAATTCAAAACTAAAAAAGTAACTTCTTGTTCACCCAACACATAATTAGACTGCAGAACTATTTGCCACTAGATTGTCAAGGCAATGAATTTAGGGATATTTTTTTAAAAAGGAATTTTGATATTTATTTGAACAGCAAAACACCCAGAGCTACAGTAGTCAGTTCTTAAAGAAAATAAGAACTTTTTTTTATTATTAAAAAGTAGTACATAATGTTTTATCTATCTGTGCCAATTGACTTCTGGAAAGGGCCCTGTTTTACCTTTCTGAATTTCTTTTAGGGTCTTACATAGTTTATCTATAGAGGTAATACATTCAAATAGAAATTGTGTTGCTATATTTTAACATTAACTGTATGAGCAGAACCTGATGCTAACCTTTTTAACCTGCATATCTCAACTTTTCATTTTACCAGTATAGATTAGACTTTCCATTGGCTTTCTGGACACATGTAAGATGAAAACACAATAAAAGGCACTCATTTACAGATTATTTTTGCTTCTTATACATCTGATACAATTTTGTTAACATGCTGTCTGGAGCACATGCCTAATAGACTCTTTGCAATAGCCATGTTTGGTCTTGCTATCTGAAAATAGAGCCTTGCTTATATATGTTGCCTCTTTAATCTTAAACTAATTTGCAGATGTGAGTTATCTGGAAAGTATAATTCGCATATGTATGATCTTCATAGAACTGCTCTTCCACTATCATATAAAAGGGACACATTTCCCATTAGCCCAAAGGATTCCTGAATAGTTTTTTGGAAAACCATCTGTTTTCAAATTTTCATTTTTATTCGAAGTTTAAGATATTATTTAGAGATCAGAGTCAGCAAGCGACAGAGCTGCTTGAAGTATACTTCTCTTATAAACAAACTGTCTTCCTATCTATTTGTTTTTATGTTCAGAAAACAATTTTTTCACCTCTTATACAATTTAGATAAGTAGATGTATTAGGCCAGTTGCCTACTATACATTTGAAAGCGTTTGTTTGTGAGTGAATGAGTCTGTCTGTCCATCTGTCTGTTCAAGAATGCCTTCTAAATAGTAAGAGCTAGGACTACCAAATTTGGTATGCAGCTTCCTCTTATCATAACTTAAAGCAAGGTAAGGGTTTGGTTGTGCCAGTGTAATCCACATGCCTGTTGGATGTGATGTGCTGTCTCATCTAGTGGCACTGAGGCCACTTACAGCCCAGCCACCATGGCCCCTGCTACAGCCAGTTCTGGTGAGCTGCTGCCAGGCCAGCACAGTCTCTGCTGTGGTTAACTCCAAGGAGCCACTGCACAGCTAGCATCTCTCTGCTGGCTCCTGCACTACTACTCCCCTACACACCTCTAACCCTCTGAGTTGAGACCCTCCTCACCCCTGACTCCTGCAACTCTGACAAACATTCTGCCCTAAGCTCCTCCTCAGCCCCCAACTCTGATTCCTGCACCCCCACAATCCCAGACCATTGCCCTGAGCCCCTCCTTGCCTCCAAGCCTGATCCCTGCAACTCCCACACCACCAGTTCCGTGCCCTGAAGGATCTGAGCAACATCGGATACATCATCTTTTTATATAAAGGCTCTGTATGCCATCAAAGCATTTGGCATAGCCATTTAAAAAAATGTTTTAACTAATAGGTCTTGCAAGTGAATTATAATTAGCACAAGGTTAAAGAAAGAGATGGATGGAAGGACAGAAGAATACTGAGAGGCACACAAGTGCCTGATTTCCAGTAAGCCCACTTGGGATGAAAGGAGAGGAAAGGGGTGTTTTTGTAATAAACTGACCATCCAGCAATAAGCTGCCATTCTCCTTGTGGAAGTCAAGCAATCAGCTAAAATCTAACATGGGGAAAATTGAGCACTTGATCTTCCCCTGACATACTCCCTTTCATATGCTTTCTCAATAAACAGCACTACCACTTTCCTGTTGCTCAAATTAATAATCTCAGTTTTTTTTCTTTGGCTTGCCCTTTTATTTGACCCATACATATAGCCTCTGTCTGCTATTTGCGGTTTCTTCCTCCATAGTATCTCCAAGATACCTCCTTCCTTCTGCCCATAGTAAACACACACACACACACATACAGAGTTACTCACCTTTTCATAACTGTTGTTCTTCAAGATGTATTGTTTATGTCTATTCCAATCAGGTGTGTGTGTATGTGTACATACATAGGAGCTGAAAGATTTTCCTCTAGCAGCTAGCTGTAGAGTCAGTCTGGACACCCCTTGGAGTAGCACCTTCTTTGTGCTTACTATAGAGCTCTACTAACCCACCATCCCCTTAGTTCTCTCTTGCCAGCTACTTTGGCAGAAGGGAAGGAAGGTGGGTATTGGAATGAACATGAACAAGACATCTCAAACAACAGGGCTACGTCTAGACTGGCCCCTAATTCCGGAAGAGGCATGCAAAGCAGGTAAGTCAGAATAGGGAAATCCGCGGGGGATTTAAATATCCCTCGCGGGATTTAAATAAACATGTCCACTGCTTTTTTTCCGGCTTGGGGAAAAGCCGGAAAAAAGCGTCTAGACTGGCGCGATCCTCCGGAATAAAGCCCTTTTCCGGAGGATCTCTTATTCCTACTTTCAGGTAGGAATACTTTCAGGTAGGAATAAGAGATCCTCCGGAAAAGGGCTTTATTCCGGAGGATCGCGCCAGTCTAGACGCTTTTTTCCGGCTTTTCCCCAAGCCGGAAAAAAGCGGCGGACATGTTTATTTAAATCCCGCGGGGGATATTTAAATCCCCCGCGGATTTCCCTATTCTGACTTACCTGCTTTGCATGCCTCTTCCGGAATTAGGGGCCAGTCTAGACGTAGCCCAACAGTTACAAGAAGGTGAGTAACTATTTTTCTTCATCGAGTGCTTGTTCATGTCAATTCCAATCAGTTGATTCACAAACCCATGTCCAGGTAATAGGCTTGGAGTCTTCCACTGAGTGGAGCACGGATTGTCCAAAGGCCGCACTGTCTGTAGACTGCTGGATAATTACACAGTGTGTGGCAAAATAAGACCATGTCACTATGCAGATTTTGTGAGTTGGGATCTGTGTCAGGAACACTGTGGATTAAACCTATGCCCTGAAGGAGCACACAGTGAGATGTGCAAGAAATCCTGCCAGGTTGCAGAACTCACAAATCCATAATATTATCTGTGATAAGATGCATTGAGAAGACACCTTTTATTCTGATCTTTAATTCTGTCTACCACAGCCACAAATAACTAGACTGAATTCCTGGAAGTTTCATTCTTTCAATGTAAATGGACATCCAGAGTGGAGTCTCTGCTCCCTGCCACTAAAATGCAGCTTAGGGTAGATTACTAGGAGAATGACGTCTTGGTTGATGTGAAACTGATACAACCTTCAGGAAGAAGGCTGGATGAGGCCTGAGCTCCGCCTTGTCCTTATAGAACACAATGTATAGGGGCTCAGACATTAGGGCCTTGAATTTGGCACCCTCCTGGCTGAGGTTATTGTTACCATGAAGAAAGAGTTACTCACCTTTCACAGTAAGGAGAATTCTTTGAGATGTGTGTCCCCGGGGGTGCTCCACTCCAGATGCTGGTGTGTTCTTGTGCCAGCAATCAGAGATCTTTTCTAGCAGTGCCCTGACACACTGCGCATGCGCAGTGGTGTTTCTTCGTGCCATTAGTGTCTGTCAGTGGTGCACACCTCCATCCCTTCTCTACCTTGGACGTGACCTGAAGAGGTGCCAAAGCAGGCGAGGGGGGAGGGTACTGGAGCAGCCATAGGGGCACACATCTCAAAGAACTCCCGTTACTGCACAAGGTGAGTAACTCTTCCTCTTCCTTCTCCTTCTCCTTCTAGTGATGTCTCCATGGGTGCTCCATTCTTGGTACTCAAGAGCAGTGTCCTTCTCATGGATGTGGGTTTTGGAGCCTTGCCCCAGAAACTATACAGAGAACCACTTGGCCCACTGATAGTGTCGGGATTAGGCCAGAAGTCAGGGTGTAATTTTTGGTAAATGTGTGCTCAGAAGACTAGGTTGCCACCCTGCAGATGTCTTCAAGTGGGACATTGTTAAGGAAGGCTGTGGTGAAAGCTACTGCTCTGGTGGAATGAGATGTGATGACAGATGGCAGTTTGCTTGTTTTGGATAATGTGGGATCCATTTTGATATCCATTGGGAGGAAACCGCTTGTCCTTTCAAGCATTCAGCAAGAGATAAAAAGTCTCATGGACTTCCTGTAGGACTTGGTCCTGTTGATAAAAAACAATCGCACATCAGATGTTGGGGGTATGTAACACAGCTTTGATTGCATCATTGTGAGGCTTTGGATAGAATGCAGGTAAGTTAATTGTTTCATGAACGTGGAAGGGTGTGGGGACTTTTGGGAGCAATTGTGGGTGAAGTTTGAGTGTGACTGGCTTTGCTGAAGATTGTGTATGTGTGTGCGGGAGGGAAGGAATCTGCCATCAAAGCTGCTATTTCTCCTACCCATCTGCTGAAAGTGATGACTACAAGAAAGGCCACCTTCACTGACAAATGGTAGCCATGAACATGTGATGAGTGGTTCAAAAGATGGTTGACTCTTAAGATGTGAGACTTTTAAGAACATGGTTGAGGTCCCACAGATAAGCAGGTGATTTACCTGCAGGGGACATGTTTTGGAGACCCGTTAAGAAGCATTCAGTCATGGGATGCAAAAAAAGCAAGATCCCATCCATTGGTTCATGAAATGCCACAACTGCTGCAATATGAACCCTTACTGAGATAAAAAAGAGACCGGACTCTTGTAGTTCAAAGAGGTAGTCCAGTATGATTGATAGAGAGTTAGCGGAGAGTAGGATGTTGTGTTTTTCCTATAGCCACATGAAGAATCTTTTCCATTTATATGTGTAAGTTTTCCTGGTAGAATCTCATTGACTATTGATTAGTATTTGCTTTACTCTATCAGAGTAGGATGTTTCAGCATCATGAAGTCATGAAGGAGCTAGGCCTTGAGCTGAAGTGTGACTGGATCCAGATGGAGGGTCCTGCCATCAAAACTGGGATAGAAGATTGCTACATGGTGGGAATGCATGGGGAATAGAGATTGCCAATCACTGTAGGTAAGGAAACCAGGTTTGCCTGGACCACAATGGTAATATTAATATGACTCATGCTCAGTTTTGTCCGATATTCATGATTACGCAATGGATCAAGGGTAATGGTGGGAATGCGTATAGGAGTGGGGCTTTCCATTTGAGAAAAAATGTGTCCTCTAGATATCCATTTCCCAGGGCTGCCTTGGAGCAAAACTAGTGATATTTGCAGTTGGATCAGGTTAAAAAAAGGTCTTTGTTGCATTGGTCCCACTTGAAGAATACTTCCTGATGGTCTGTTATGTCCAATTCTCATTCATGCTGGTCTCAAAAGAGGTGGCTAAGGTTGTATGCTATAACATTGAGAATCTCTGGTAGGTAGGTTGCCATGGGAGTGATTTGGTGCTGTTAGCACCAATTCCAGAGCTTCATCGCCTCTGTGCAGGGGCATAAAGAGTGATTCTAGAAAAGTAAAGAAGTGCCTTCTAAACCCATTAAGTCCTTGGCCATCAATAGTCAGAAGTTCTGGACTCAGACAATTATATTGCAATACTGAAATTTAATCTTGTTTAAATCCTTTAGGCTGTGCTGTGTCTCATCTAAATGTCAGGAGAGTTGTATTAATCTGTCATACGTGACTAGACCACATTTATACCCTAAGCAAGGCAATAACAATATATAGAATACATTTAAAAACATTATTAGGAATACAATTTGCTGGGGTTTCTACTCAGAAATACTTTCAGAATATAAATTGCAACACTGCAACAATTTACAAAATTAAAAGCTCCAACTCTAAACCATCTGATCTGGTCTAAATGAGCAAAATCAGCAACACCACCTCTAACATTTAGAAGCTGTTAAATACTTCTCTAGATCCCAATCAAAGTCAACAGATGCTATAGGTCTGCAAGAGTGTTGAGTACACAAAGTGGTGATAGCAGGTGTATGTATGCTACATAAGATGCGGACTACTGGCAGAAGCAAGGGCCCCCACTGCCCACTCAAGTTTGGCCTCACTCCTCTTCTGTCATAATAGAGAGGATGCAGAGCAAAAACTGTTGTGAGTACTGCTCACTTAATTTTGATCCTATGCCCTCCCCAGATGATAGTGGAAGGGTCATATTCCTGTATTGGGGGAGGAAGGGAGCTTCAGAGCTACTTTAGCATCCAAAAAACAAATGTTATCAACATGTAAAGCAAAGATTATATTCAGCATTGATCAGGGGCTTCATGGAAGCAGTGAAGTTTGAAAAAAATCATTTTTGTAAGATACTATAAATCACATATGTAAGCAGGGTCTGAATCAATGCTTCCATTGCAGCCAGCTAGAATGGGAAAGAAAGAAAGAAATCCTGAGTGTAATTATGTAAATACAGTTTGCCCCTGCCTTGCTTAAGCCTGCTAGATATTCAACTGTTACAATGGTGTTTTGCTCCTTGTAACCAAATTGGCTGTTGTGGGGATCACAAATTGTGTTAGCACTAAATTCAGAAATTGTAAGATATGATCACCAATGCTTTCAGTTATTGTAAGAATGCGGAAAGTCAGACTGTGTTTAACTCAGCTGAAAAGGAGAGACCCTGTCAGTGTAAAGAACCTTGGATGGACAAGGGCTCATCTGCCAAAGCTCTGTGAAGTTAACTGGGAAGGGAGGACTCTGAATCAGCAGGCTCTCCAGGCGCGAGCTGTAAGACTGGTTCATCCTGTTTCTCCCCCTGTTCTAATGACAGAACTAGAACAGACTCCACAAGGAGTCTCATTTACTATTTTAAACTTACTCCAGTGGATGCTGGAATTTCTTGTGGCTGGACTGTGCTTGGGTCAAGAGCTGAAATCACTACATTTGGCCTAGAGCCAAATCCACCACAAGCCAGTGGAAGATCTGATGAGTGACCAGCAGAGTAGTGACAGCACAATGAGCAGGCAGCTGGGAGGCAAAGGAGAGGTGTAATGAGCAGCCAGTAGGTCAGTGAAAGAGAGGTGCAATGAGAGGCCAACAGAGTGGTGGCAGCACAGTGAGGTGAAAGGCCAGCAAGGTGGTGGCAGAGAGCAGCAAGCAAGTGGGTGGCGAGTGATGAGCGGAGTGAGTAAGTTGCCTCCTTACCTCCACACACACTCAGGATGGGAGGTGAACTCTGCAGATGCACCTCTGAACTCTGGGTCTGCCCTGACCAAAGGCAGTGACTGCGAGCAGGATGCACACAAGGGCTGGGCATGTGAATGGGACATTTACATTGCTGGACTTAAGAAGCTGAGACGAAAAGGACACTGCCCAACCTACTTGGGGTGGGACATTTACTCATGAGTTTTGGTTGTGAAATCAATGCCATTTTACTTCCCTCCCCTTTTATTAAAGGTTTCTTTACTACACTCAGACTCTGTGTTGTGAGTGGGGAAGCATTGCCTCTCAGAGGCACCCAGGGGTGTTGTGTGAATTTCCCAGGTTTCTGGGTGGGGGCTCAAGCCAATCCTGTGTTGGATGCATGGAGAGGAATCCCTAGATATTGAACCCGGCCCTGGCTGCAGCTGGCACTACCTGACAGAAGGATTATATATATTAATGACATCTATCAGTACTTTTAAAAATTATATACCAATTGAAAGTTGAGCCTCCTCATCTTGAAATTTGGGAAAGCTCAGAGGAAGGCAAAGAAGGTGGTGCATGGAGATGAGGCACAACAATGGTGCACAGATGTGACTCAAGGAGAAAATGAAGAGGAGCATGGAATAGAAGCAGAGGGGAGAGAACAAATGGGGGCATAGAAGGAGAAAATACAATGATAGTTGAGGGGAAAAAAGTAAGGTTCAAGCCTACCACTTGCTGTTTTGCTGGTTCACCTTTTACCATGTGTGTCTTATTTATATTGTGTTACACTTATGATCTTTGGGGTGGAGATTATATTTATTATAATCTTTATACAGATCAGAGAATATTGTAAACACAAAATATTAAAAAATAAACAAATAAATAATAGTATTTAGAGTTTAAATTTTAGCATTTGTTCTCTTCCCTTCTCTAATTCAAGGGTTGTTCCTTCAGATTCACAGCTTGGCTTTCTTACATTTATCTATGGGCATTTACAACATGCCTAAAAATCTGTGTCTCTGTCAACTATAGAAACAGTCCAAACCTTTAACTCTTTAATCTTTGCAAAGGCCTTCCTCCACAGAAACCAGGGTTTGTACCTTTAATTATATAATTTACTCCAGGTGCTGGGACTGGGCAGTCCTGGATGGAGGGGAGGGCATGCTCTCAGCCAACCCCTTTCACTTATCTTGTGACTCTGTCTCTTTTCTTGTATGGTATTATGAGAAGCAATCCCATCCCAGGCACATCCCAGTTGCCTAGCACAACCAAACCTTTGCCTTGGTTTAAGTTATGATAAGAGCAAGCTGCATACCAAATTTGGTGATCCTACTTACCGTTTAGGCGGCGCTCTTGATCAAATAGACAAACACACAGACAGACAAACTCTCTCAAATATATAATAGATTTATGTGCTATAATACAGAAGAAGATAACTTCTGAAATAGGTTCAATTCCTCCCCCCACACACAATTGTTAATAAAGTGCTATGATGTATTTGACAATGCATTTAGACAACAACATTTTATGAGGTATTATAATATTGAAATCTTTTCTTGTAGTACGTTTCCCTATTTAAGTAATGTCTATCAAAGCATTCAATTACTGCTGAGAAAGATGTTGGTAGATATCTATATAGGACTCTGTGGTGATCTATTCTAGTAGTTATAAAATAATATATTTGATGAAAGTTTGAGCTCATTCTGACATTCCTAAAATAACCATAGCAGGATATAACAATATTAATAGTATAAGGCAGCGTTTCTCAAACTGTAGGTCCTGACCCCCCGGGGGGTCACGAGCAACTTAGAGGGGGATCGCAAACAAATTAGAGGGAGGTCACGAGCAATTGAGAGGCTGGTTGCAGCAATGGAGAGGGGGGTTATGAGCAACTGAGAGGGGGGTTGCGGTATCACAAGTTTGAGAGCCCCTGGTATAAGGTGTTAGCATATAACACTTTAACATAACAAATAAATATTCAGGGTACAGGCATTAAATGTCCTGATTAATTTAGAAACATTCAAATAGATTTACAGTAAGTCTAGAACAAATGAGAACCAATTTCCCCTACTATATTCCACTCATCATTATCAGCAGCCACTAGATGTTGGTTTACTCTTTTTCAGTTTGATTGGGTGTATGGAAAGCTGGCCACTCTAGCAGTTAGCAGACCTGACTTCCAGTCTCTTGCTTTTTTGACTGGGTGGCAGAGGTGCTTGGTTCCTGGCCAATTTCTGCCTAAGCCCATCAGGGAGTGTAGTAGGGGGTGCTCTTCCAGATCCTAGCCAGCTGGGAAGCTGCCCCAGTCTAGATTCTCCCTGACAGGATATGAGCAATTCCCATTGACTTCAGTAATCTTCAATGGGATAATCAAGCTTATATTATGGAATTGTAGAGCAAGTTCCTCCCTGGATGACTGCTAGAAAGAGATTGACTGGTCTGTGTGATTTAAGTTCCTTGATTGATGAGAGCTGGCACCTAGTGCCAAAGAAACTTCTTCTGGAAAGAGCCTTCATATGTAGCAGGGCACATGACAGCAGAAAAACATGAATGAGATCCCCTATCTGCATCCCTATTGCCAGGTACAAGAGTCTATTCTTCCCCCTCTCCCCTGATAAAAGTTGTCCACAGTCACCATAGTGACTACAGCCTCTGTAACTCCAATAGGGGGAGAGTAGCTAAGGATCCATGTAAGACTATTTGAAGTAAGGTATGAGAACATTTGTCTGAGTTCCATGCCCCCATCCCTGGTAGTTCATAATCTCCCATTCACTAA